GACCCTGCGCTTCTCTCACCAGGCCAGAGGACGGCTCCCCGCGGTGTCCTAGGGACTGAGAGCCCCGGCCGGGCCAGGGAACCAGCCAGCCGGGAACCAGCCGGGAACCAGCCGGGAACCAGACGGGAACCAGACGGCTCCGATCAATAAGAGAAGCTGCTCGAGAACGAGCGGGGGGATCCGGCCCAACCCCTGATACAGCCCGACACCGAGTGGGCTTTTCTGACCACTGAAGCTGAGCTTCCCTGCTTCTGCACGCCAGGGAGGAGAGCTTTGCAAGAGGTTGTGTCCTTATCCCAAAAGCAGGGCACCTGAAAACCTTGTGTCTCGATTTCTTGCTATGTTTCGTTTTCTTCAGATTTTGGGTCTGTGACAAACGAATTGTCACAAGGACAATTGTCACAATCGGGAACCAAGACCCGATTGTATTTTGCCCATCATTACTTCATAAATATGCAGGAAATGTACAGACATAGCTCGTTTGCATCTGATGAAACTTTGTTAAACAAAATTTAATCCTGTTATATTTCCATTCTCCGTCTTGTCCCTGACGTTAAAATAATTTCTTAAAATTGAAATCACGCACTCTCACACAACACAGCTCCCTCTCTACCTGCCAGCTTGTGTGAGCTTCGGTGTTGTTGCATGTATTTCCATGCATGTTTGAGTACTACGTTAATTAAATTAGAGTAAAAATACCCTCCCCTCCGGAATCACAAGTAAATGAATGCGGGCAGTTTATGCAAACACAAATATATAAGCCGGTGTTTTTTAGCGAGCTAAAATAAGGTAGCAAGCTGTAACATGAAATGCAACATCCACCATCGACGGATCAGCAGCTTGTGCCAGGATCATTCTCAAAAGGCCCTTCTCCTCCGAAGAGGGAAAAAAGCTGAAAACAAGGCCAGCCCCTGCAGAAGGGCGGGGGCCGGGGGTCGCCAAGGGATTCGGGAGCTGTTGGGGAACAGCGGTCCCTATCTATCTGCAGTGGTCCCTATCTGTCTGCAGCCGCACGCCGGCTGGAAAGGACGTCTCCCTGTGAAAATCCCTCTTCTCTTTCACACAAGCCTTTGCCGGTGCATGTGCTCTTGTCCCAGGCTACGAGGGGGGTCAGCACACCTGAGGGCTGGGGGTCAGGTCGGGTGTTTTCAGGCTGGCAGGCTCGGAGGGGAGCGTGGGCAGCGAGGCCCCGCAGCCTCTCCCTCCGCCTGCTAAGGCACGCTGCCCTTGCTAACCTACTGCGCTCAGCTATTTTGTGGCATAAGGAAATGCACATGGCAGCCAGTGATGCGTGGAGGCCCCTTCATCCTGCGTTTGGCTCCTCGCAGAAAACGGGAACGATCCCTGGAGATTCCATGGGATTTTATACGTTCACGTGTAGAACTTGTTCTGTGCAAAATGAAAGCCCCGTTCCAAAGCTCCGTGGGTCTCATCTCTCTCAATTTCACACAGCACCTTCCCTACGGGATGGGTCACCTCCGGACAAAACTCGAGGTTCTCGCTGGGTTCTTGCTACCCTTCCACCTGCCTCTGCCCGCTTTTCCCTACCTGCCCTTCAGTGGCGTCCAAAATCTCCTCCGGCACCCACACCGCGTTATCCCCTCACCCCTGCTCCGGCTCCAAGAAGTTCTTTGCCCACCAAACAGTCTGCATCGCTTCCGGGGGAGGATTTCGCAGCTTTGAGCCGCATGGCAGGAGCTAGGGGCGGGGAAGACAAGGCAGCTGCGACAGTCCCTCCGGCCGCCCTGCCACGTCCGCCCCTCAGACCTTCCCCACACCACCTCGGGAAATGCGGCCACCCGACTACATACACGGCCGGGGGAACTGTGTCCTTCGGGAAGGATCAGGGGGCCTTCTGCTTACACAATACCTTACCATGTGGGCATCCTTCTGCCTTAATAGCCCCTCAGTAGCCCACTCCCCTCGAGGAAGGTGAGGAGGTTATCTTCCTTCCTCCCTTAAAAAAAAAAAATCAATAAAAATCGGCAGCTTCAAAGAGGGGCTGGGGTGGGGGGTGGTTTGTGTCGCATTGGATTTGTCTGGCTTCTTCTTACAAGGGGAGAGCGGAGGCATCTGGGGAGCAGAGCGAGGCACAGAAAGGCCTCGTGACGGCGGCTCTAAGAGGAAGGAGTAGGACACGCCGAGGTGAGCACAGCAGCGCAACCGAGCCCTGCCGGAGCGGTGGAAAACCACAGCGTCGGGCTCTGCTCTCAGCTGCGGGAGGTTGGGCACTGTCTGGAGGCCTGCCCGGTCCCGGAAAGCGCCGGAGAAGGCCTTCATGAGCCGGGGCAGCCAGGACCGCCGCCTCGCCGGTACCGGCCGCGCACCGAGGCTGCTGCAGCCGTACACGCGATTTGCAGCAGGCAACTCACGGCGAGTCTGTTTTGTGGAGGAGAAAGGGCGAGGGAGCAGAGTTTGAGGGAAGGAGAGGAAGGGGAGCGCCTCTGGCTCCCCTGTGCGACGCAGCAGTGTCGGGAGAAGGCAGACAGGGTCAGCGCCTCCCGAGAGACACCAGCTGCCGGTACCCGCGGCTCCGGCCGCGCCGTGCGTGACGGCACCGCTCAGGCACTCTCCCGGCACGGAGGGAAAGGAATGGAAGGGCAAGCCCGGCTCCTGTCTGCCCCTGGCTCGAATCTCTTACAGCTTCCCCCCCGTTCTGCTTTGTCAGGCCGGGGGACCCTGCGGTGAGGGCGCGGGTGCGTGCCGGGGCAGCCGCCGGCTCCTCAGGGCGAGCCCCCTGCCCAGGCACGCGTGCCCTTCCCCGGTTAGAAAACCCTGACCCCGCTCCCCCCGCCCTCCCCTCTCTGCCGCCTTTCCCCTCCGATTCTACAATGATTTCCTACCTGAAAAAAAATAATCTTTTTGCCAGGCAGGTCAGAAGCGATCAACAGCCTGTTGTATATTATGTTTTCATATTCCTCTCGTCTCCCCCTGCCCTCTACCGACTCACTGTAGATCTGACCTTTGGTATTTCAGCCCACACTCAGCAGTTGAATGGAAACAAGTTGAGCACGTTCACTTCTGATAAACATTATCCTTAAACCACTAGAGACCCTAGCAGAGTAAACGAGCTTTTCCGACAGGACCACATCAGGAACACACATTGAGAAAGGGAAAGAAACAAAATATCCAGGAGATCAGAGGCGGGCTCGAGGGTGGAGGGGTGGGAGAGGGAAGAAGGGGGAACAGACAGGTTGGAGGACACTGCGGAGGGGGAAGAGAAGGACCCAACTGTAAATACAATAGACATAGATGGGAAGAGAAGCTGCCCGGGCAGCGTGGGAGAGCAGCGCAGGGTCACGCCCGAGCATCCCAGCAACCCTGAGGGAGCTTTAGAGACGCCGAGCGGGTCCAGGAGCGGCGGGGTCGGGCTTCCACCACCCGTGCGACCGGAGATGCTCCCCGGCCACACGCCACTGGACCGGACTAAAGCAACGGGAGTCCCGCGTGTTCAGGGTGGCCGGGGCGGCGAGCAGCCCAGGCCCTGCCGGGCTGGGGAGACGCGCTGTAGGGCGAACAGCCTGGCCGGGGATCCCGACAAGAAACTCCGCTTCCACAAGAAATACCCCGTTAAAGCGGCTCGGAAATTTTACGGATTTCCACCCCCTTTCATTGTTTAATTACAGAAATAACTTAATGAAGGCTGGACCCGGGTTCCACTAGTTCAATGCCTTCTGCCTTAAAAATAGCCAAAGGAGGTCAGTTCACAACTCAGAAAGGGGTTCTGGCTTCAGCAAACGCCTGCTAGTACTGCTGCCTGCGCAAAATGCCAGCGCTTTCGGACAGCGGCATTTGCGCGGCTGTGAAGAGTGCTCCCCTTATCAGAGATAATTCTACCCAGGTTGAACAAGCACCACAATTTACAGGTGCCATATTCTGAAAGGGCAACTCGTATTTTTGAAGCAACGACAAAACTGCCATGGAAAAGTTCCTATTGTGGTGGTTTGCTTTTGTTAGGTTTTTTTTGGTTTGGTTTTCTTGACAGTTTTTTGGTAGTGTATTTTTTGTTGTCGTTGTTTGTTTGCTTGTTTGGTTTTTTTTAATCCCTGTGGAGAAAACAAGTATCCGCCGATATTTCGATCAAATGGAAGTACCTGCAAAAGAGCCATGATCACCTTCTTTTCACCACAAAAGGTTTACAACATGCCGTTAATTTCTGGAAGATCTTCTGCAACATCTTACTTTTTCACAGTTAGGAATGTTCATTGCTATATATGCAGGATCCGAAATGTCGCTCAATTTTTTTCTTATCTTACATTTATATTAAATAATATCTTAATATCTTCCATTTCAATTAAAATAATATCGAGACAATGTTTATACATACCAGCGACGTAAATTTTGTGGTTTACTTGGTGATATTTTGTGCATTAGGATCACCGCCTTATTTCTTGTCACGTTTTATTTAATTTACAGAGTCTGTACCTTTGAGACTCTATTAAAAAAAAAACAACAACAACAACAAAAAAACCACCCCAAACTATAAACTCCAAAGAAGAACCTCAGGAAAATAACAAAGAAAAAAAAAATCCCAAACCTAAGACAAATCCTTAGCTGGAGATGAGAGCCCATGATCTCTGTGTGCGACACGATGTAACCTAGGGCATAAGACGCACGCACACAAGATCAGCTCAGGATCCGTACATCGCCAAACCAAACATTTCCACATACACGCCGTGACCCACACATTCTTTAATTCCTACCAGTTTTGTCCGTTTTTCTTTTGATTGCTAATATGTATCAGTGCCTTTTATAAAGCTGAAGTCAGCTGCGAGGCATTGACATTTTACGGTTAAGCGTTGTGCAGTATTAGTGTGGGGATGAAAACAAACCCGGGGTCGGTCTGCGCTGGGCAGCGAGCGCCAGCATCCCGGTGCCGGTGTGCGGTGACCGGAGAACACAGCATCCCAGTGCCAGGCGCTGCAAGCCCCGTCCCGTCTCCTCCCAAGGCAAGGGAAATTGCAGCTCGTTTCCCGACCGGTTGGTGATTTTCACCAAAAATGACGCAACTCGCATCGCTCACGGTCTTCTCGTACACCGCCCGCGAAACATTCGTTAGCGAAAAGGTGCTTTATTATAAGGAAGCGATCAAACCCCACGAAGAGCTTCTCTCGCGGTCAGCAAACTCAGCGCGGACAACCCGTGTGTGTGTCAAGACATGGCTCTGCTTCATTCGGGGAAAGGGGGAACCGCTCTGCCAGGCTCGAAGCCCCCTCTCCGGCTACTTAGTCCGGGAAAAGGGCCAGAAAGGGCGGTGCTGCGCTGCCCGCCGACCGTGCCCCGGCCCCGCGGAGCCGCCTGCCCAGGCCCCGGCCCCGCCGGCCGAGCGGTGCCCTGCCACAGCGCCGGCCCCGCTCGGCACGGCCCCGCTC